AGTCGCTTGATCTCAACGGTCAAGTGATGACCGGACGCAGCTGCTCAAAGTGACCGGACGCAGCAACCTCAGCGTCCGGTAGTTTCCAGTAAGGTACCAGTCGCGACCGGACGTGTTCGGTTGGTCATGATCGGATGCAGCATCAGCGTACGGTCCTTCTCCACCTTCTCTGCGTCACCTACGTCACCATATGTTAGCCTGACCAGACGCACCCTACCAGTGTCCGGTCACTTTCAGCGCCAGCGTCCGGTCAAAGATCGATGCCTGCACGCTCTCTACCACCACTGACCGGACGCAGGACCCCAGCGTCCGGTCACCATGTGGCCAGCGTTCGGTCCACTCTATGAGACCATGTCTTTTCTGTATATGGCACCGGTGGCACCGTCGGACTGTCCGCACTCTACGGGCAGACACTCCGCCGGTGGAGTTCCTAACCCTTCTCGCCTCCGTTTCATCGTCGAGTTGATCCACATCAACTCCAACTTCATCTCCTTTATAAATGTGCCAACACCACCAAGTGTACACCATCATGTATATGTGTGTTAGCATTTTCACAATCATTTTCCAAAGGATTAGCCACTCAACTTGCCACGCCACTCAATCCTAGCGACGATGCAAAGTTAGATCACTCGAGTGGCACTAGATGATCGATATGCAAACAAGTTTGCCCCTCTTGATAGTACGGCCATCTATCCTAAACCCGGTCATCAACTTCTCTACACACCTATGACCGATGAAATAAAATGCCCTAAGTTATACCTTTGTCTTGTGCATTCCATTCCATCTCCTCCAATGTTGATGCAACACATGCACCAACATGATCAACAATGATATGATCCACTTCATATCATCACGTGATCATATTGGTTCATCAATCTTGACTTCACTTGCTTTTCACTGTTGCCTTCGTCCATCGGCGCCAAGTCTTGCTCAAGCTTCACCGCCATGCGGTCCATCACTCCAAAGCCTCCGACTTGCCCTTCATGCTTGCAACCGGTCCATCAAGCCAAGTCTTGTCTTGATCTTCTCCACCTTGATCACATGACTCAATGTCATGTCTCATGTGCAATGAGCTCCTTCATCATCATATGTGTGAGCTTTGCAACATCTCCAAGCCATTTTCGCCTTCATGGCATATGTTGCTCACACACATGTACCTGTGGACTAATCACCTGTGTATCTCACATAAACCCAATTAGTCCACCTAGGTTGTCACTCAATTACAAAAACCACACAAAGACCTTTCACCTATTCCATATCGGCACTGGTCGGTTTCTCCGACCAGCTCCTCTGATTCTCTGGAATCTGGTCAACATCGCATCGGACAGCAGGATCACTTTGCTTCATATAGAACCACCTGGCATTCCACCCTTTCAGTGAGGTGTTTAGTAGCACAAGAATGTATTCACTCGCCATCCCATCGCGGAGCTGTAGATACACACCGCCGACAACTTTGGAATCGCCCCCTCCTTTCTTCTTGAGCCAGAAAAAGTGTCGGAAGAGATTGAAATGGGAAAGAATGTCAAGATAAACCTTGCAGAAGTGGGTAAACACAGAGATGTACAAAATAGTGTTTGGATAAAGATTACATAAGCTCACTCCCTAATACTCCAACAGATCTCGCAAGATAGGATGTACCGGAAGCCCCAATCCACGCCAGAAGTAATCTTCGAATACAACGAGTTCATCGGTGTGTGGCGTCAGATAGGGCTCTCCATTGGCCGGATGCCATCCGACGGTGACACGATAAGGAAGAACGCCCGCCTTCTCCATCTCGTTGAGATCCGTCTCCCCCATGAGTGACAGTACCCATTCCTTGTCATGGCTTGCCCTAGTGGCTGCCTTCTTCGCGTTACCACCTCCCCTCTTCGGCGCTATCCCTCAGATCTGGATTAGGATTGGTCCCTTTACGCAATCTTTTTAGCCCTAGCGGTGGAGTGTGTGTGAATGCGAATGGGGGAGCGCGAGGGCGAGGAGGAAGACGAAGTGACGGAGTGGCAAAGGTGGGAGCGCGGAGCGCGGCGGCGGAGTTATACAGACACCCTCTCAACTTTTCGCATTCAAGGGTTTTTGGGAAACCGCGCCATGCTGAGTTGTGCCCTTCCAAATTCCCCAAAATGGCGTGATGGGCCGTTATCTGGGCTTCCGCGCAACTACGGCCCATATCACCCATTTTTCGACGCAAGCTCGGTACTGCATGCCGAATATTTGCCGACCTCTCCGTAATACCATCAAGGCTTAGTAATTTCTACTGTACAGTCATTACTCCGGTTTTTTCTCCACGATTTGAGTAATCGGCACTTCTTGATTTATTCAAGATTTTCACTTGTGGCTCGGGGACTACGTCATCATTATGATTCGGTTTCTCACCATACTGGGGACTTTTTTCTACTGCTGTTTCTGACCCTGGCACCACATGACCACGTCACCTACTGTCAGGCTCAGGGACTAAGTGGGCACACTTCACCTTGCGGTGAATGTGCGCTTTTCATTTCAGGGCTGGGCTCAGCCAGTGGACTGGCTGCCTGTTCGACTGGTCTTCTGTCTTTCTCCTACTTTCTAGACCTTGGCACCACGTGACCACGTCACCTACTGTCAGGCTCGGGGACTAAGTGGGCACACTTCACCTTGCGGTGAGTGTGTTTTCTTTAATCTGTTCATTGGAAGACTCCGTGCCTCCTGAAGTTGAAGAAGATTATCTCCCTTTCTTGTGATCGGACTCTAAGTGGGCACACTTGGTTCACAGCGAGGAAATTTTTGATTTTGAACTTGAACTCCTTTCATCCTTCTGGCAAGCCTTACTTGGGTAAGCCTGGACTCGGCCGGACAGTTAAGCTGCTCGGTTACGGTCCACAACTACTCGACGACTCATTAGGGTGATCGGACTATGAGTCTGACTGCTCGGCTTTGTTTACACCTGCTCGGATAAGCTCAAGACGACATTGCACAGCGGATACAAGGTGCTCTGAGACTAGCTGTGGGGGGTACGACCCCTGATACCCATGGTAGACTATATGGGCTGCGCTGTCAGGGGTGGTCCAGCCCACAAGATGAAGACTTATGGTGCACGGTACTGCTCGACGTGTATCGCAAGACGTCAAGGGCGATATCCTGAAGATACTACGAGATCTGTTAGGATATGCTCGATCCCGTGATTCCTGTAATCTGTTATTACTTACCTAACCATCTCTTAGATCTAACCGACTTGTAACCCTACCCCTGGCTATATAAGGCGAGCAGGGGACCCCCTCAAAACACACGTAATATCATACGATAGACAAGACAAACCAACAGACCACAGGAGTAGGGTATTACGTCGCGCAGACGGCCCGAACTTATCTAACTCTTGTGTCTCTGTTGCCTTCTTGTTCTTGATTACGCGCACCTCTGCCGATCAATCTACCTTCGTGGGATACCCCTCGGAGGACTGCCGACCAGATTTCGTCGACAATGGCGCTGCTTTGCCCAAGCACCAGTCTGCTCAAAGCTTCCTCTGGCGCCAAATTTTTTTATTTTTTAGCCCTTTTTTTGAAAGTTTTTCACAAATACACCCCTGGAGGAAAGATTTCAGAATCTGGACCCTTAGCTCGGCGCCATCGATGCTGGCGTCGAGCTAACACATCTCAGCGCCAGCGTCCCTGGCGCCGAGCTCTTTGGCTCGAGACCCACGCTCGGCGGGCGCGGGCGGCACGGCAGCCGCGGGCGAGGCCGGCGGGGGCGGGCGGCACGGTCACGGTCACGGCACCGGCGCGGCGGGGCGCGGCCAAGGAGACCGCCGGCGGCACATCGGGCGAGGCGAGGGCGTGGCCCGGGCGAAGGGACCGGCGAGGGGACCGGGGCGTGGGCGCAGGGGCGCGGCGCGGGCGGGCGGCGTGGCGCTCCTGTGCAGCCTCGGGCGCGGGGCGGCCGCAGTGGCGCGGCGCGGCCTCGGGGCGCGGGCGGCCAACGCGGGCGGGCGAGGGCGGCCAGTGGAGGCGCATGTGCGGGCGACGGCGGCGGCGCTGCTCTGCTCGGGCGAGAGAGGGAGAGGAAGAGAGGAAGAGAGAGGCGGGGCCCATACGTAATAAAGGCTCGGCGCCAGGGTTAATGGCGCCGAGCTCGGCGTCGAGATCTACGGCACCGAGCTCGGCGCCAGAGTGACTGACGCCAAGCTTCCTGCCATGTCACCTCCACGTCCGCTTCGAGCATAAGAGCTCGGCACCAGCACGATGGCACCGAGCTAAGGGTCCAGATTCTGAAATCTTTCCTCCAGGGGCGTATTTGTGAAAAACTTTCAAGAAAAAGGGCTAAAAATAAAAAATTCACCCTCTGGCGCCACTGGCCCTGTGGCCCCGCCTCGACTCTCGACGGTGTTGCTCCGCCTTGGTCCCGACGCCAACGCTCCGGGCTCTAGCCCACCGACGCCTCCGCCCCAGCCCCACTCGTCGTCCGCTCTGTTGTTGCTGACGTGCACAGAGAAGGGGCAATTTCGCCCGGGCCCGCGAGCGTGAAGGAAGAGCAAGGTGAAGCTGGTTTTTTTCGGCTCCTTCGAATGCCTGCCGCTATAGTGTGCGAAATCCGGCGCTTCTAGTAGGGAGCAGTCTGGTTGGCATCGTCTAAAAATAGCTTTAGGAGCCGTCCGAGAATCAGTACCAAACACGCCCTTCAATTTATAAGTGGTCTAGGGTACGTAGCTTGTTGCATGCAAAGCACAGTAGATCAACTATTGCGAAAAATGGGGTACGTGGAGTACAATTGTACAAATGCCATGTGAATAAAGGAGATCAAATGATGCCGAGATTGTAGTTTTTCACTCCAATGTAAACGTTATCGACGCATTTCTCCCGCCAACTATTGTGTACTCCTGTGATAGAACGTCACACTAGCTTTACAGTTTACACAAGCCGAAAAAAATCAAATGGTTTGTGACAACATGGCTAGCGAGCTGTTGTGCTAGTTGTACGGGTGGATGACTTGCTATGTGCCCGGTGGCGGAGTATGTGCCTATGTCAGTGTCACTACTATTTGTAGAAGAGGAGTGTGTAGAAGAGCTGGTTCCAGGTGTCCGGGAGGCCGGGGAGGCACCAGTGGCTGCAGTCAACGGAGCCGCCGGCGCCGGGGTTGGCACGCTGCGCCGGCGAGAAGTCGCCGCTGTACACCGATGGGTGCGCGTCCTTGCGCATCGCCGACAGCGCCGTGATGTCGAGGAGACGGACGGGGCTCTTCATGCCCCGCAGCACGGCCTGGATCACCTGGTCCTGACCCGAGGCCTGACCGGTCGAGTTCAGCACAGTCACCGGTGCCGTCTCGCCGTAGCAGTTCTTCGATACCGGGTTGGGCCATTCCTTCGAGCTGATAGAGATCACAGCACAAAAAGGCCGAAACGAAAAAACAATGAATGAACTGAATGATAAAAAAAACACGACACGTGCATGTACATGCATATGCGCGTCTGGACAGGACGCCGCTAGCGTGGCAGTGCACAGAAAGGGATGGCTCGTGCCCCTAGTGAGAATAATACCTGTAATGCGTGGGCGACATGGACTGGAAGAAGACACGGGCCTTGGCTTGATCGAGGTTGAGGTCCACCCAGTTGGCCCAGGTGGTGAGGCCGCGCTGGAATGCCACCGTGCGGTCCATGTCCTCGTAGTATCGGCCAGACTCGCCCATGTAGTCCCAGCTGCATCCACCACTCACATTTTCAGAGCAAATTTACGATGAATCTACAACTACAAGCTGGAGGGATTATCACGGATAGATAGATTTGCAGTGCGGCGTACCCCTGCATCGAGCCGGTGTGCGTCCACCAGTGGCCGGAGTTGAAGGAGAGCACGTCGGCGTCGCGCCACGCCTCGGCGTTCTCGGAGATGTCGTCCAGCATCAGCACCCGCTTCCCCTGGACCATGTCGATGTCCACCAGGTACGGCGCGCGGTAGAAGGATACCGTCACCTGGTGCTCCTGATGCTCGAACAACGTATTTAGATTAGATTTGGCCTAATTAATCTCTTCGGACAATCTCTGAATTATCATGCACGCCGCATGGTACATGTGTACATAACATACCAGGAACTTGTAGGTGTACAGAGGGTCCGCGGAGACGAGCTGCGCCGGCGACTGCGGCGCGGCGGCGTGCAGCAGGCAGACGAGCGACTCCCACTGGTTGCGGCCCAGCGAGTCGCCCACGAACATCACCGTCTTCCCCTTCATCCGTGTCAAGAAGTCCGCGCCATCGAACCTGGTGCACACAGTACAAGTAATCAGTCTATCACGCATGCACGCGAGTGTCTGTCGCCGTGGGTTCATGAGGCATGGTTGGCTTGGCGCTCACTGCCACGTACCTCGGCAGCTCGCAGCCGGCCGGCTTCCAGACGTACCGGAGGTAGTCGGAGTCCGGGCGGCCGTACAGCTGGCAATTGAACTCCGCGTCGATGAGCGGGCAGTTGTACCCGGTGTACGCCGCCGAGCCGCCGCCGCCGTCGAGGACCCAGCTGCCACTGAAGACGTCGCAGCCGGCGGCCGGACCGGGCGTGGCGTCGTGCCGGTGGGGCCGCGCCAGCCCGACGGAGAGCGCAGAGGCTGCCGGAAGAGAGAAGGCGTGGAGCAGGAGGACGGAGGAAGACAACGCGACGGCGGCGAGGGCGGCACTCTTCCTGCAGGACGGCAGCATCATGGCAAAGAAAAGAGAGAGCGGAAGCAAAGCCGCCTTTCTGAATGGCCCCTTTATGCTGCTGCTCAATTAATCGTGTAATCACGAGTCCAGATGCGACTAATCTATATCGAGCTGCTCTAATTGTCAGGAGTTTGATTGAAGAGGAGGTGTGCATGTGAGGGTAAAGAATTGCCGCTAGACCGACTGGAGTTCACGTGAGCGTGTTCGACATCAGATCACCTTTGGAGTTTGCGCGACTCGTATGGAATCCGTGGATTCCTTGCCTTTGGTCGGTTTGCCCTTTGGCGTACGTCGTTGTAGGAACATCGAAAGATTTGAAGCCATGGAATTCGTGCTTTCTTGGAAATGGAATATACTTACTCTGTAACTGCATATGTCGTTTTTAAAGAGTCAATATTTTTAAATCTGATCAAAACTTGGTTTGAGATAAAATTAGCATTGCAAAGTGATTGAAATTTGTGTATAGGTAATGCACATGTGTTGCTTATATATGTTGTGATATTATGGCGATTCTATACACTCATGGTAGTGTAGCGAATTTGCTATTGTTGCATGTTATGCTCGTGGGAGGTATTATGCGATTGTGATTGGACATGGTTTGCCCTTTGTGAACAAGATACGCAGATCGGAAGGAGATCAGCTCACCAAAGCCACCGGAGAATCCCCGCCGCCAAGCACTGACACACGCACGAAGAGATGCGCACACGCACGAAGAGAAGGGCCCGTTTAGTTCACCCAGCGCCGCCGCCGCCACGTTTTGTTTTTATTTAGCCATAATTGTCCGATCGTGACCGAAACACCAAGTCGAAGAACCGCCACTGCCGTGCATCGCAAAAGTGCCGCCATATTCCACTTGTTTAACACCAACGCTGGACACCACCAACTGGATAACCCACGCCAAAGGATCGCCGCCTCAGATGCCACCTGTAACCGCTGGCGAGATCAGACAGGCGACATGAGCAATTCAGAGATTGGAATCAGAGTGATCTCAGATACGGAGGCGGAGTCTCACGGCTTCGACTCTCAGGCTAAGAATATTGCAGCTGGTTTATACAGCTTATATAGAGTCTCAAGTCTAATACAGGAGTACTACTTTGAAAGGGCGTACTGTATATCCCCGCTTTCTCCTACTCCTTGCTGTGTGCTTGTTGGAGCAGCTCTGTTGCCGTGACAGGATTGGATAAGAATTTCTCTCATCACCCTCACCAACTCACCAGAAACAGATCACTAACCATTTTTATTCCCTCTTAACCTCTTTGTGACTTAACGAGCCTGAGGGCCCCTGATCGATCACATGTGCAGAATCAGCAACAAGCTCAGGCTGAGCTAGAATGTCTAGTCAAACAAAAGGAACTGCATACAGTTTGCAGCCAACGAACAGTACGGCGACAGAACTGATAATACTACAGATCAGGGTAAAACCATCACCAGAAATTGCTCCAACATAGTCTCATTTTCCTTGTAGCTGGGCAGTATGTTAACAGCTTAGTCCTTAATTTACACCATGGAAAATACACAATCACTCAGCTTCCGTAACCAGGTTAGGTTAATTTCGACTCGCACTCTACGCCAAGGCGATGGCTGAAAGCTTACTGCATGAAAGTTTAGCATCCTTCATCCAAAGCTCTAGTGGACCCACCCTTGATTATTATTTGGTCGAGACTCTAAGCCAGACATTCCTTGGGCGAGCGCCCTTTTTTACCCGCTCATAGCATTTTCCTGAGAACTTGTATTTCAATCCTGAAGCTGTGTTAGGCTGCAAAATGTAGGGAGAGTTATCATAAGCAACACAAGCAGCTACCCAAGAAATAATCAGGAAGTTACTCAGAGCATATACGTACTGTTATATTCGAAGTGCAATTCTGGTTGCACTGATCTGCACCAGCACTAGAAATGGAGCACAATCAGTACCAAGTAAAGGAAAAATATGTTAAAGATTGTAGTAAATAATTATTCTTAATTAAATTACTAAAGAAATCACTAATTGTTACTCCCTCCATTCCAACTTGTAAGTCATTATACCTTTTCTAGATACACATCTTTTACTATGTTCCTAGATATACATTATGTCCAGATACATAGTCAAACTTATGTATCTAGAAAAGCCAGAACGACTAACAATTTGGAATGGAGGGAGTATAAACAAGATGCTGGCTCACCAAGTGAATATAGATAGTAAACCAGATTGCCAGCTAGGAGAATGTAATGTCTTACAGAATATAACTGCAGATTATGTCTCGGTCAATCATAACTGGTTATTTTTCTATTAGTATCAAATCTACATAGCATTTGCAAATTCTACAATGTTGACTCTTTGAATTCAGTCAAGCAAGAACGAACGGAATTCTTATAAGCCAACCCCATCTGACCTCAATAGAAGAAACCGTACCTGGCATATGGTTGCTCATGAATGTCCATTGTTAAACCAACTTGAGGATCTGACGTGCAAGTTGGAGCATCAATGAAACAAATACCCTCTTCGCCTTTGTTTTCCTGACTTACCAGTACCAGCTCTGGCCCCACTGTCAAACCAACTTGCGGGTCTGGCATACTAGTCAGAGGATCAATTGAAGAAATACCCTCTTCATTGCTGTTATTCTCAATTTCCATTACTAGCTCAGGCTCCACAATCAAATCAACCTGATGGTCTGGCTCCACTGTCAATGGAACAAATACCTTCTTCACCACCATGTTCTCTGCCAACCCCATTCTCTCAGAATTGGACATTGATGGAACACTTTTATCTTGTGAAATGTTGTGTGCAACATTTAATATTTTCTGACACATGGTGGTTCCCTGGAAACTGAGAATGCTATTCCCTGCCAACTCAAGCCTATCAGAATTTGACATAACTGTGAAACCAAATGAGCATGTCCATGTTTCCAAAAGTTCAGGAACTGCCGGTAATATAAGTCTTTCCACCCCCAAGTCTAAAAGCAACTGATAAGAAAAAAAAAAAGTGAAATATTCAGCAAACACCATGGAAATGGCAGGAGTACTTGAGGAATCAAATGGAAACGTTTTTGTTACAATTTTTTTTCAAAACAAGCTTTTGTTACAATAAAAAAAGGGCGTACCTAGTGCAGAGAGCTCCCGCTCTGTGCGGGGTCTGGGGAAGGGTGTCAGTGGCAAGCCTTACCCTCGCCTGTGCAATGCGAGGAGACCGCGACTCGAACCCGGGACCTTCCGGTCACAGGCGGTAAGACTCTACCGCTTGCACTATTTAAACTAAAATACCGTTGCAGATGATTTTAAAATATATCAAGTGCAAACCTTTTCCAGTTCATTAATTAGAAGTCGGCACATTCCTTGGCGACGGTATGGAGAACTTGTACCGATCAGAGGCAGCTCGGCAAACTTCTGGCCGCAAATCCTAATCAGGAAAGGAAATAACTGGACATGGATCAAGATGCTTAATGAAAGTTCAATTACTATGGAAAACCATTGTGAAGGTTATACTACCTAAAAGTGCCGACAGATACTGGTTCACCACCTTTCTGGAGAAGTATTGTGTAGAATCCCCTAAAATTTAGTCGTCTGAGTTCTGATCTGTGAAGCATATATACAGAAGTTACTCAGCAGTCTACACTAGATCAATAAATAATGGGCAAAGAAACATCAAACATATATAAATTTATAATATGAATATAGATGTAACCAAACAACAGGTATTTCAACAAATTTCCAGAATGTGGAAGGTGAAAAGGGGACAAAAAAATAAGAGAACAACTTTGTTGATGAGCATTGCAAAACTACAGTTAGTGTACCTCTATTTAAGCAATTCAGTATAAAACATATAAACTTTAATAAAAATGGTCTGTGTTTCGACTATTTGTAATACAAATAAAGCATCAACTATTCTAGAATATTCACAGTCTATCTCATGAGAGTATTAGTGCAAGAATCATTGAAAGTGAAATAAAACCAGATGCATGGAAATGGTCCAGAAGCACTTACTCTCTATTGAAGATAATATCCTCAGAAATATCACTCTGTGTGCGAGGCTCGATAATAGTAACAAAGCATTCATGAAGAATACCAACTGCAACGCACAACTTGCCATGATGGTCTGCCATTATCTCATCATCATAATCACCATGGTCACTGCCGTTCCCTCTACAAAATTTCAAGATAGTCCAAGATACGCCTTCGATTAGAGTTGGAACTGATTTCCCAATGAGTTCTTGCAAATGTTGAAATACCTGCACAATAGAATGGGACACCAGAATCAATCATTTGGTGTCTGAAAGACATCATAAAAATTGAGTAATAGAATGGGACACCAGAATCAATCATAAGAATTGAGTTCAAATTATATTCTAAAGCCATTTCAGGTAAAAAGTTAGCATTTTTTATCAAGTAATACCGTACATTTGAGCATCCCCTGCTGCAAAACCAACACCCTTCTGGTCGGCAGATAAGCTGATGGTCACTATTTCTAGTGCAACCGACATGATCTACCAAAAGAAGGTGAACAAGAAATCAGCAATCACAAAATAAAAATCTGGAACATTTTATACATAAATGTTGAAATAAGCATACATTCCCGTTCACACTGATCACAGTAAATTATGGTCTTCTCAGTGAATTGGCTGGTATCAGGATCATAATCACTCAAGTTACAAATACTGCATCTGCAGGATGGGCAATACCAGTTTCCTTCCGGAATGGCCTACAAAAGCAGAATGCAAATGAAATATCTTTCTTAAAGCAAGTGCAAATAGGAAGAACTTGTGGAGAAATAAGAACTGAAGAAACACAGCAATGATATGATGCACATGCTGTTCATCATACTCAAAAAAGAGAAGGAACATTTATCATAAGTTCTCACTACCAATGTGATATGGATTGGCACTTGAGCAAGAATATTCATCAAAAACCAACAACCATATAACTAAAGCCAATGGAAGGCTAAAACTGTCATGTTACCAGGCTACTTACTGGAAGTTTGCAAGTTGCAACAATAGAGGTACCACCAGATAGAAACTCGAGAGTAAGTAAATAGATTCACTCGAATAGGATAATGGAGTACCTCTACCTCCAAACCGACACAATCATGATGATAAGATGATGGGCAATTGTCACAAAGTAATAAATCCCCACCATCATGGCACACAGAGCATATCGAATCACTTTCCAGATCAGAATTTTTTCCCTTCAAGCGCACATGCAGTGGATGTGGATCTCTGGGCTTGTTTCCACCCATGAATTCAACTAAACACTGTGATAGGGACATTCCATCCTTTAAAAACATATGAGCCGAAGGTAATGGTGTACTGCTCCCAGCATGAACCTCAAAATTCTCCACAGTGAATATTTCATTGCAACACATGCATTCTATTCCATCTATACAGATGGAACCTTCCTTTATCCCAGATCCATCACTTTGCTTATATGTAACCTTATCCCCTGGTACCACAATTTTTTTCTTTACCAACAAAGACAAAACTGTCTTCGCACGATGCTCACTTGAAGGGATCTGTTCATGTCTTGAACAAAGATATTGTGCACCGTCCAAAGAAATTGGAGATGATTTTCTTTTCCTACATCTTCCATGATGTGACAAGGTAAACATGTTGCTACATCTGTCCACAACAGGCATACCCTGTATTTTACTTGAATCCCTTAGTCCACCACTGAGTGGTGCCAACTTTGATGGATGCATAGAACCAACAGCAGAACCATGGTTGGCGATTTCAATGTATGCGTCATTGTCCTCCTGATATCCTTTTTCCAGGTAACCCTTACATGCTGCCACTAGAGAGTTGTAAGACTTGCCATGTGGAGCATCATACCTCAACACCAGTCTGTTTCTAGGCTTTTGCTTTAACCAAAAATTCCACCCAGCAGATTTGAGAAACTTCTTAGCATTTGATCTCAACAGTTTCCTCCTCCTGGAATTTTTCTTATCAGCTTCCATATAGTCTATGTATTTTTCAAGGGCATCAGATTTATCCCTTCTTTTACGTTTACTGAGCCTTGCCAGGTCAGTTGACACTGTCGAATGAAAACCTTTTGGTGCTGTCCGATAGTTGTGTCTGTCAGTTATTATATCTTGTTTAACGCCTCCAACTATCAAGCTGCATATTACCTGAATGATAGAAACATAAGTCTTCCCATCAGGTGACTCATACCGGAATCTCGGAATATGTCTGTGATGGCCATTTCCTAGCATAATTTCATCCTTTCTGAACTTAATACTCCAACCCAATGCCAGTAGATGCTTCTTCAGCTTCACACTCAGAGTTCTGTCAATGCTCCTCTGTAGAACAGTAGTGCCATCTTGGTAACTAGCAAGAAGAGAAACTATCTGTGGGGAAAATTCAGCATCGAGTTGAACCAACTCCCAAGATCCTGATGGAGTCGTGATCCATTTATCATTGGACTTGTTCTTTATCAAGGCAAGATCCATGCGCGTCGGGTTGTAGCATGCATTCTTGTGCACCACACTAATACTGTCTAGATGCAAATTTTCTGTATGATCATCTTGGCAATCATTTGCTTCTTTTGCAGCCAAACACGCCTGGCATGCTCCTAGAAAAGATGGGAACCGTTTACCATCAGGTGAGATGTAAAACTTGTTCTTAGGATGGTCATCCAGAAAGGTCCATCCTAAAGATTTAAGGTGTTGCTTTGCCAACTCCTTTTTTATAAGAGCATTTTTCCTATTATTATTGCTATAGCATGAGATGTATTCTGATAATGCTTGGGATGGATCCAGCCTATCCAAGACAGTGGTCTCAACTTTGTCCTTCTGAAATACTGCTTCCACTTGATATCCATCTAGGGTAGGCTTGCCACATAGAGACCACAATTCAGCAATGAGATCTGCAAGTGATCTCTCCCAAAATTCTTCTGTTCCACACATCCACATTTTAGCATCAGTCTTAAAAGAAGGTTTGGATCTTAAGTCAAACCATATCTGCCTGACTGACACAGGTAAACCATCTCTCTCTTCATGTGACAAAAGCATCTGCAGAAACAACCAGATTCCACGTGGTTTCCATTTCCCTGTAACTTCATCCCAGTCTTGAGTAAGACGTAGCTGATCAACTTCGATAGTGCATTCATCACCTTCATCAGGGAAAAGGACTTTCCTTTCCATAGAGCCTTCAGCATGATCAGCAATAACACCTTCCCAGTAGGAACCTTCTATGAGTGCATCAACACAGAGTCCATAGCTTGCATGAGATACCTGCAGCCGTTGATGTGGACACATTGGCCTAACATTGCCACAAATGACTTCCTCGGGCATGCTTGACTTGCCATCAATGGCATCTGACACTCGAACATTCTCAACGAGGGGCGATCCATTTTCATCAATGAAATCAGTATATCTTACGGTGCGAGCATTTTCCCGAATACCAATAACAACAGCCTTATGCCAGGAGCCACATAGCCCTGGATCACAGCTCAGCACCTACAGAATAGAAAGATGTCAGTGAATAACTCGGGCACTTCCATCCCACAGTGTGAGGGCAGACATAGTGACAGTGCAAAAAGCAAACCAGGGGTTGGCATATCCCATAATCATCAGCAAGTCACAAAAACAATGAAACACATTGGAATTCTGAAGCGAACACAAGGGGTGTGTTAAAAGGGGTAGTAGAACATTAGTGGTTCATTGACAGGTCAAATTCAATCCATGCATCCAATAAATTGGATCATAAAAGAATAAACAGTGATATACAACTTCAGTAATTCCTACCTAACTAATGCAAGGCTGCCCAATTGGCAGGCATCAATGGCCAACAGATACTCAGACAGAGGTAACTGGCATCAGCCGCAAATCGAATCGAAGAAATATAAATAATACAAATTACGCACAATTAGGCACTTTGCTTAGATGTCAATAATACTATCGGAACTCACAGAGGGCAGAAGCGAGAAGCCAAGATTCTGAACTATTTGCACGCGCATAAAGAAGGCTCACTGCCGTATCGCTGTTACGACTTGATAGCCGTCTATGTGGCAGAACCTTCTACTAATCTTGTCAGCATTTCCGCATGAGGAAGATAAGGTCACTCCAACCACCCAATATAAACTCCGCAGAACAACTAAGCAGAATACATGTAAATATGTAATTAAGCACCCACTTCACCCCAGATTAACAAAAGCATGCTATTCCTAACCAATAACCACCCGGATACACTCGCGATCATCCCCAGCCGCGGAACGGCCAATGCTCGGTATCAAAATTAACCGAGAATCGCCTGGTCACGACCCTGATCATGGGCGGTGTGGCCTCAAGCATTGGAAACCCAATAAAATCGAAAACCCAGGCACCCAGCCCAGCACCCGCGGACCATCGCCCTAAGCCCCAATGCGGTGGACATCATCGCAAACGGCGGTACGGATGGCACTCACCTCGACGAACTCGCCGAAGAGGAGCTTCCTCCCGTCGCGTGCCGCGGCGGCGGCGGCAGGGGGCGACGCCTCGCGCCGCCGCTTTCTAGCCGCGCCGCGCGCCATTGCGGGGCGCGGCTGCGGGGACGGGTGGGTGGGATAGGTAGGGTTGAGTGCGAGTGCGGCAGCGTTGGACTGGTAGCCCCGGGATACGGGGAGGAGCCCAAGAGAAGCCAATGAAGGCGGGAGGGGTAGAGGGCGAAGAGAGGAGAGGAGGAGGAGGTTTCCTGGCTTTCCTGATGCTGGGAGGCGGTGCCGTTTATTATGCGCTCATTATGGACTGATTAACGTGGGCTTAAAGTCTTGTGATTTATTTATGTTGATCCGCCTATATTTGTGGTATTTTCTTTATTTTCAAAAACGGTGGGTTAAGTGAGATTTGGTTTTCTTAATAGGAAGTTTGTGTTCTTTTGGCTGTTTTATTATAATGAAATGTTTTTTTGTTATTTGAGTGATATATATAAACTGATAATATGGGGAACGTATTACTTGTGCGTGTATCAGTGCCGCTGTTTTCTGTTCGCTGGTTCGTTTTTGAGCTGATAAGTTTGACTGGTACTGGTTTAGCGTGAGAGAAAACTGTTGGCTGGCTGCCCTCGCTGAAATCAACGTGGGAACATGTTGTTTGCTTGCTGCACGACCACAGCCTTTTCAGCGTTGGCGGCTATTGCACGAAGGATCAGAATCTTTTTTTTTTCTGAAACACCGCAAGATGCCAATGACGGTGGACAGTGCAAGGCGCTACGGAGTAAACACTGTGGCTAGAGTGACAGTTTGCAGCAGCCGCGCTGCGGAATCAGGCATGAGAGAGACCATTGGGAGATTCGTTTGGTCATTTATTTATGTTAGGTACAGGTTCAGCCTTTGTTTGTCTGGAGTAGCCTTCATGAGAGGTCAAATCAGCCTTGAAGTACGACCGGTTTTAGGCTTGATTAGTTTTTCCCTAGAGTTTACTTCTATCACATTGGATATTTAACACATGGATGAAGTATTAAGTATAGATTAAAAAATAATTAATTATATAGATTGTGACTAATTTGCTAGATGAATTTTTTAAGTCTAATTAGTTCATGTTTTGATAATATGTTGTTACAGTAAACATATGCTAATAACGGATTAATTAGGCTTAATAAATTCGTCACCAAATATTACTAAGGACTTTCGTAATTTTATTATTATTATTATCGAACACTCCAGTGTAACGTCCCGATATAATACTCGATATAACATTTATAACTTTATTCTCTGAATTTAAACACCACCTTGTTCCCAAACTGGCTGGCACCCACGTAGGGGAGCAAGACCAGGTGCAGCGATAACCACTGCTACAACAAAAGCAGTAGCAACATCAAAGCCCCTTTCCCTCCCATTTTTTTCCTCCCCCATCTGCTATCGGCCTCTCTTTTTTGGAGGGAAAGAGCAGTGAAAGAAGGGAGTACGCTATAAATAAATAGAAATGGAAATGGACAAGACAGGTGGGAAAACCGTTTCTATATATATATTTCTATGGAAGGAGAATCGGGTTTTAAAAAGGCTGGACGAAAACAAAATTGAGATATTTGAAAAGGGATGTAAGTGGCATGGATGCAAAAATTAAGTCTATTTGTGAGATTACGGACAAATCCGCTTATATCTACGGACATTCGAAAACAAACAAATATGGACGAAGAATCGAAAATTAAGTTAAGATGATATGATCTAGTGTTCTTAGTATGCATGTATGATACATGTATCAAGATTAATCTAATATTCACTTGCATACCATGTGTCTCAACATGTTAACATGTATACTTAATTATTAGTAGGTATATTAGCATTAGCATAAAGACATTTAATTGTTAGACATATTCCACATAGATTGAAAACTCCACAAAAAAACAAGCGGCAAACCCCTTCTACCATTTCCATTTTGTTCCTGTATTTTTTGTAAATATGAAAACGAATGAAACAAAAACAGAAAATGGAATATGACGGATTTATTATGTCCGTTTTCATTCCTGGCTATACGTGGCTAAGCAAGTATAACCCTCCTCTAAAAGGAATACAACTCTAGGGTTGGAAAATGTTAAGAACAAATGCATACTCCCTCTATCCTAAAATAACCACACGTCTTACTTTTTGAGAAATTTTAAGTTTGACCAAATATACATAAAAACATACTAATATTTAAGATACAAAATAAGTATCATTAGACTAATAATAGAACATACTTTCATAATAAACATATCATGAGATAGAAATATGAATAATATTTCCTATATAGTTAAAACTTAAAAAAGTTTGTCTCCTCAAAAAACGAGATGTAGAGTTGTTCTAGGACTAAGGGGATATTATGTAGCTAGTATGCTCAAGCTCATGGAGAAGGTGGAGGATCAAGAACAAGAGATTGAGAGTCTAAACATTTGATCATGCTTTCTTGGTTTTAACCATTTGAGGGTTTTCAACACCTTCATTGCCTTGAGCTGAATCACCTTAAGCTGTGACTTTGGATTTCTCTGACCATTTGATCAAGACTACACCTTTTATCCAAAATTCACCTTTTCAAATAATTTATCAATGATTTGATCCTCCACATCAACTTGACTTTGCATAGCTTGACTAGTACTCTGACTCAATACAAGTACCCTCTTCTCCACCTTGGCCTTGGTCCCTCAGTCGCCAAGCCGTTGCTTGCCCTTCACCTTCGCTTAGTCCCTCGAAGACATTCCCTTGCTATCTTCATTCTATCAAGCCATCAAGTCATATTTTGCTTCAAATCAACTTTAAGCATACAATGAAACTCATTTCATTTACATTATGACCATGTTTGCTTGTCTTATAATCCGTACTTTTCAGCTTGTTTTTTTTAGCCGGAACAATATTTTCCCCTCACAACAAATCAGCCGGAACAATGTTTCGGCTTGTTTTTTCAGCGAAGCGAATGGGGCCATTGTCTTCTACTCATTTTGAACTAGCAAGCTTCATGTAGTGAGAACATCCCATGTGCAATCAACTGTCTCATCTTTACTTAGCACACATGCTTGCTAATTCATGTGTCATGAAACCCAAATTCCATATTGCATTATATGACCAAGCTTCATATGAGAGAACAATAGATAACCACCAAGCCATATCTCTTTCATCATATTCGGCACATGCTTGTCACCAATGCATTTTATCAATATGCCTTGGACTTAATTCTCTCATTTGCATGCCATTTGCTTCATTTGAACCCAATTACACTAGAACATACATGGGACTAAACACCTGCAATTCTCGTGAAAATACGTTAGTTCCTTGATCGTATTGTCATTTAATTCACCAAAACCCGTTTAGGGGCCATATGCACTTTCACCTCCTGTGCCTCTCGGCCTCGTCCCATCTCAGCCGGTCCAAATGGATCTAGAATGGCTAGAGGGAGAGGGTGAATAGCTTATTAAAAATTTCCTTCAAGGACAAAGACACTAACAAGGATTAGTAAAAGAGATAGCCCTAATAGCCGGTACAACTCTACAAGCCTAACATAGCTCACTTCAATGCAAGCCTCCTAATCAAGTCTAGCAGTAAGGATTACAATTACTACGAGAGCACACAAGCTTCTCAAGACTAGTCAAACAACTAAACGAACCACACAAGATAAGCAACTACTCGAATAATAACACTACTTGATTAGGAGAGCTACCCTAGCAACTACACAAACACAAGATGATCAAAGTAAAGACAAGGGTAGAAGAGAGCAAAGCAAACAGGGCAAGAGACACAAGATTGATCCTTGAGTTTTGGTTGCTTGCTGGCAATCTATGTCCCCACTGAGGTGAGTCCTTGGATTCTCATTCCTCCACGAGCAAGCAAGCCCTCAAGCTTGCCCCTACGTGGATGCTCGCCTGTGAATCGATGAATCAACGAGGCCCTCCAACTAGTCTCTTGATTTCATTGGAGTTGCCCTTTGTAACTCCCATGGCTGCTACTGCCGTACAAAGATGATAATTTCAAAAAATAACTTTAAGTTTGTAAATATTAATCTATTTTCACAAAACCTCCTCTAATCTTTTACATCAAATAATTCAGTCATATCTTGGCATGCGGTATGGGCTCACACCCGTGTGGATGATTACTTAGACTTGAACGGAGATTAAGGACAGAAATGACATAATCTATATGAATCCAAGGAAAGACCGGTCATGTACTTTATTTTTTTATTACAACGTATTAACATTTTCTAGTTATATGAAAAATAAAACTAGAGAGCGGAGTCACATGCCGAAAGCAAGACCAGAGCTCGGAAAGGCCCGAAGTTCCGAAATCCGAACACATGAAAGAGTGATAGTCTCGCATCTGCCCTTTGGCTCTTTCCCCAACTACTCATGGGCCCACCGAGTAAATCCAGAGCTGGCCCACATGTGATACCAGATCAGCAACACGTTACACGCCGTCCCTTTCAGTCCTTCAACCGTTTTGCTCTCTCCCCCGGTTCGGATCCAAGCAACCAAACCAATCCGAACTGAGACCAGGTACCGCACCACGCGGCTCGCCGCCGATGGCGAGCGCCGACGCCGACGCCGACGAAGCGCCGCTGCTCTCTGAGGAACCCCTCTGTCCAGGATCCTGCAGCCGTGAGCTCGAGCTGCGGGAGTTCCGCGACCGCTACGTGATCCGCTCGCTCGACGGCGCCGCCGCCTTCGCCGTCGCTCGCTCCGGCGGCTCCATCCGCCCTCTCTCCCCAGGTCAAGCCGTGTAGTGACGCGAAGGGTTGTGGTGTGCTTCCGGATTTGTGTTGTTTTGATAGATGTTATGGCTCGTCAATCGGCGCGGTGTTCTGGACGTGTGGTTTACCTTCGTCTTTTCGCGGGCAGAGGAAGCCGCAACTGGGACTGGGAGCGACTGCAAGGTTTCCAGAATATACGGGGTGGTCGGCAACATAAGATTGCTCGCCGGTGAGTCACCTTCACCTAATTTCACGAATTACGAACTACTTCATATCCTCTCTCTTTTTTTGTATTTTGCTTTTTTGCCTGCAATAGTGTTCTGCTCTGCTGTAATATCATCAAATGTCTCTTTTGGGACGCATTAAGTGCCATTTGATCCTACTTACTAACCGTGAGCCTGTTTAGACTGTTTGCACTAGCTAGACAAGTAATCAGTATAATAACTAATAAGGTAAGATTACAAAGTAAAACTGTAAGAGTTGATGGGCTCAAACCAATGACTGGTGGGCTCAAACCAATGAAAGAGTTGATGGGCAGGTCCTGAGAGGTTTGAATTTGGTCATCATCTTGGGGGCTTGGGCTATCTGGATGGCATTTTCCCTTTCCTGTCTAGATGTGTCTCTTGCTATATAAGAGATGAGATTTTGGAGTTTGGCTGGGGCTCGAGTGTTTCTTTTCTCCTCGCCGTTGTGCTCTCGAGTTGTCTTCTTCTTAATATAATGATACTCAGCTCTCCTGCGTGTTCGAGAAAAAATAATGAGCCAAATGATCAGCTGTCCATTGATTTAGCGACGCCAACCAAACAAAAAAAACCCACAGAGATGGTGCAAGGTCAGATAAAAATTGTCCATGTAACCATTTCTCACACCAAAGTAATGTCTTGCTGCCATCACCTAAATAGCAGTGACCGAGATTGTTATGACCGGCATCCATTATACAAGGCGTAGGCCCATTAGTGGCTAGGGGCTGCCGGCCAGGGGGGCCTAAAAGCCCATAGTTATTTTATTTATTCCTATTATTATTAGAGGGATTATTATTAGAGAGAAGTATAAATACCTGTAAAGACTTTGAGATTGGATTAAGCAGAAACAGAGTTGTTTCCGGCTTCCTCAAGGGAGCCGGATTTCCTAACCCTAGCCGCCTCGTCTTTGTTGTCGTCGCCTCCCCTCCTCCTCCTCCCCACGCGCGACCACGGCACCTCGACCTGCCGTTCGTCGCGCTTCAAGCCTCGTCCTCCGGTCTCCCATGACTACAACTTACGATCCGTCAGGGGCAGACCTGCTGTCCATATCAACCTGGTATCAGAGACCTTGCCGATCATGGACTCCCCCGCTGCCTCCACAACCGCGCCTTCGCCGGCGATTTCCGCCGCGCCGCTCTCCACCACAGCGCCTCCCGCAACTTCAGGTGTAGTGGTGACCCCGTCGCTGCCGCTGGGATCGGTGGTTGCGCCGGCCCCGGTATTCTCGCCGGAGTAGACGACGGCGGCAATCGTGGACCTCAGCCACTGCATGCGGGAGGTCCAGGAAACGCTGCCGGCGCTCTCCTCGAGACGGTGACCATCACGCCACCACCCCCACCACACCACCACCACTCCTCCCTCCCGTCATCGGCCAGCATCCTACCCGCCATCTCGTACCCCTACACGGATGCCCAAGCAAGATCGCTTCCCTCGCCGTCGACCTCCGTATCGCTGCCGTCGACATATTTTCCGATTCAACAGATTTGTTTCCACCGTCGCCGTCGCAGATTCCGGCCTGCGCGCTCAGTTCCACGACCGCGCCAATCTACTCCACGACAACACCGCGGGCGTCCATACCGCCGGCGCTGACGACGGGCGCTGTCGTCGCTCACGGTGGGCCGTTCGCAGCAGGCACCCTCTATGGAGGTGTCGATGGCACGCTCCTCCATGGCAGTAGCCTCCTGCCGCACTCCATCGCCTCTCCAACCATCGACAGCTTCCCTGCGGGTGGTAATTAGGGCGGCGAGCAGGGGGGTGACCATGGGCGCCACCCCCCGAAGTTCTACAAGCTGGAGTTCTCGACGTACGATGGCTCTGAGGAGCCCCTGAACTGGCTCAATCACTGTGAGCAGTTTTTCAGGGGCCAGCGCACACCGGCCTCCGACCACACCTGGTTGGCTTCCTACCATCTCAAGGGGGTGGCGCAGACATGGTACTATGCCCTCGAGCAAGACGAGGGCATGCCTCCTTGGGATCGCTTCGTGGAGTTGTGCCATCTCCGCTTGGGCCGCTTTGTCCAGCATACCAGTTGACAGAAGGGCGGGCACTACCTTTCACTCCACCGTCCGTGAGTTCTCTCGACCGCTTCCGTGTGTGTTGTGCCATCTGCCGCCACATCTCCACAAAGCGTATAGGTCGAACTCTACGTTGGCGGCCTCCCGGAGCACATTCGGGTGGACGTGGAGATGCGAGATCCACCCGACCTTCAGACCGCCATGTATTTGGCCCGGGCATTCGATACAAGGCATGCGGCCATGCCCTCCAGCGCGCCTCTGCTGCGTGGGCGCCCACCTCCTCAATGCTTGGCTTTCCCCGCAAGCGCAGCGCGGTGCTCCTCAGCCGGAGCTCTTGTGCCCAAATGAGCGGACCAAAGAATGGTGAAACGGGCGCCCTGGTCGCCCATCCGCCGTCTCCACGCCGCCGCAAGCAACTGGAGCGGCGTCGACAAGGGCTTTGCTTCAACTATGATGAGCCTTACGTCCGCGGCCACGTGTGCCCACGGCTCTTCTACCTCGAGTCGGACGACTACATCGACGACGGGCTGGGGGATGCCGCGGCGATGGATGACGTCGCCAACCCCGAGGCTTCGGACGCCGAGGAGCCTGCGGCCGCTAATGCTCTTGTGGTCTCTCTACACGCACTTGTAGGGGTCCGCACGGACAATACGATGCTACTCCGGTGATGGTTAAAGGGCAGCGGCTGTTGGCGCTACTCGACACCGGCTCCACGCACAACTTCCTCCATGGCGCGACGATGCGCCGCCTAGGGCTCGCCCCGACGGGCGGTGAGTAGCTCCGTATCACCGTGGCCAACGGCGACCGGCTACCTTGCGAGGGCATTGCTCGCCACGTGCACATCCGCATCGGCTCGGAGTCCTTTTCCATCACGTGCGTCGGATTGGACTTGGGTTGCTTCGACTTCATCCTCGGCGTCGACTACCTACGGACCTTGGGTCCCATCTTGTGGGATTTCGAGGCCATGACGCTGTCCTTCTGGCGCGAGGGCAGACGCGTCCTTTGGCAGGGCGTGCGCAGCCCCGACGCGGCGGTCCCACATCAGCACCTCGCTGCACTCTCCGCCGACGCCCAGCAGCCGCTGATGGACTTGCTGCTGCAGCAGCAGAGCGCCGTCTTCGACGAGCCCACGGGGCTCCCACTGGTGCGCCCGTACGACCACCGCATCCACCTGCTGCCCGGCACCGCCCCGGTCGCGGTGCGCCCGTACCGCTACCCCTAGCTGCAGAAGGACGAGCTGGAACGACAGTGTGCGGCCATGCTCGCCCAAGGCATCATCCGGCCGAGCACCTCTCCGTTCTCCGCACCCGTCTTGCTGGTACGGAAGGCGGACAAGTCTTGGCGCTTCTGCATCGACTATCGCGCCCTCAACGCCAAGACTTCCAAGGATAAGTTCCCGATTCCGGTGGTGGATGAGCTGCTTGACGAGCTCCATGGCGCTCGCTTCTTCACCAAGCTCGATCTGCGCTCCGGGTATCATCAGGTGCGGATGCATCCCGACGACATCGCCAAGACTGCCTTTCCGCACGCATCACGGCCACTACGAGTTCCTGGTGATGCCGTTTGGGCTCTCCAACGCCCCAGCAACTTTCCAGGCCTTGATGAACGATGTGCTCCGACCCTACCTACGGAGGTTCGTGCTGGTATTTTTCGACGATATTTTGATCTACAGCTCTTCATGGGCTGAGCACCTGCAGCACGTCAACATCGTCCTCAATGCGATGCGGGCACATCATCTTCACCTGAAGCGCCCCAAGTGCTCATTTGGGGCGACATCGGTGGCCTATCTAGGCCATGTGATCTCCGAGGGCGGCGTCGCCATGGACGCCGACAAGGTCGCTATCGTTGCTGCATGGCCGACTCCACGCTCCGCCCGGGGCCTCCGCGGCTTCTTGGGCCTCGCGGGCTACTACCGGAAGTTCATCCGGGACTTCGGCCTCATCGCAGCACTGCTCACGCGTCTCTTACGGCGAGACGCGTTTGCATGGGACGACGACGCAGCAGCAGCATTCGAGGCGCTCAAGAGCGCCTTGACCACAGGGCCCGTTCTCCAGATGCCAGACTTCGCCACGACCTTCGTCGTGGACTGCGACGCGTCGGGTGCGGGGTTCGGCGCTGTCCTACATCAGGGCACGGGACCCCTCGCCTACTTCAGCAGGCCCTTTGCTGCCCGGCACTTGAAGCTTGCAGCGTATGAACGGGAGCTGATCGGCCTGGTGCAGGCAGTGCGCCATTGGCGCCCATACTTGTGGGGGCTGGCATTTTCTGGTTCGTACTGACCACTACAGCCTCAAATTCTTGCTTGATCAACGCCTGTCCACCGTTCCACAGCACCAATGGATCAGCAAGCTCTTCGGCTTCGACTTCTCTGTGGAGTACCGCCCGGGGCGTCTGAACACCGTGGCGGACGCTCTGTCTCGCCGGGATGCAGAGGAGGGGGCTATGACCACCATGGAGGGGGCGACTGTGGCTGTTCATGCCCTGTCCGGGCCGACCTTCGCCCTCCTGGATGACATCAGGCGGGCAACAGCGACCGCGCCTGATGGCCAGCAGCTCCGAGCTCCGAGCCGGCGAGCTCTCGGAGCCGTGGCACCTCGACGACGGGCTCCTTCTCCATGGGTCCCGCATCTTTGTACCGGACCATGGGGACCTGCGCCACCAGGTGCTCCTTCTGGCGCACTCGGCTGGCCACGAGGGAGTCCAGAAGACCCTCCACTGCCTCCGCGCCGATTTCTACATTCCACGGGATCGCGTGTTGGTTCAAGATTGGGTGCGTTCTTGCACCACCTGCCAGAAGAACAAGACGGAGACGTTGCAACCGGCGGGGCTGCTGCAGCCCCTCTCGAGGTGCGGTCCCAAGTGTGGGCCGACATCTCGATGGACTTCATCGAGGGGCTGCCCAAGGTCGGTGGCAAGTCCGCCATTCTCACCGTGGTGGATCGCTTCTCCAAGTACGCTCACTTCATCGCGCTCGGCCACCCCTACACTGCCACGACTGTCGCCCGGGCCTTCATCGACGGCATTGTCCGCCTTCATGGGTTCCCGCTGTCCATTGTCAGTGACCGGGACCCCGTGTTTACTGGGCACGTGTGGCGGGATCTCTTCCGGATGGCCGGCGTTAAACTCCGCATGAGTACGGCGTTCCACCCGCAGACGGATGGCCAATCTGAGGTGGTCAACAAGGTCATCGCCGTGTACTTGCGCTGTGTGACGGGCGATCACCCGCGTGCATGGGTGGACTGGCTCTCGTGGGCGGAGTATTGCTATAATACCTCCTTCCACACCGCCCTGCGGGCCACTCCCTTCGAGGTCGTCTACGGTCGGCCTCCTTCGCCAATGTTGCCCTACACGCCAGGGACGGCACGTACGGAAGCTGCTGATGCTCTTCTACGATCCCGGGATGAGGTCCTGGCAGAGGTTCGCCAACGTCTTTTGCGGGCCCAGCAGCTGTCCAAGAGGTATTATGATGCAGAGCATCGCGATGTGGAGTTCCAAGTGGGTGATTGGGTCTGGCTGCGGTTGCTGTACCGCACGACGCAGTCCCTCGAGCCGGGCGCCAAGGGCAAGCTCGGTCCCCGCTACGCCGGGCCGTTCCGCGTCCTGGAACGCATCGGCCGGGTGGCGTACCGTCTGCAGCTGCCGGAGGGTGCTCGTTTACATGATGTCTTCCACGTGGGCTTGCTCAAGCGCCACAAAGGGGACCCTCCAGCAGCGCTGGGCGTCCTTGAGCCGACCCTGGACGGTCGGCTGCTGCCAGCTCCTGCCAAGGCGCTCCGGGCTCAGCAACGCTGGGGTGCCTGGCAAGTACTCATCCAGTGGCGTGGCTTCTCTGAGCAGGATGCAACATGGGAGTCTGTCGACGAGTTCCGCACCCTCTACCCTGACTTCCAGCTCTAGGACGAGCTGTTTGCACAGGCGGGGAGAGATGTTATGACCGGCATCCATTATACAAGGCGTAGGCCCATTAGTGGCTAGGGGCTGCCGGCCAGGGGGGCCTAAAAGCCCATAGTTATTTTATTTATTCCTATTATTATTAGAGGGATTATTATTAGAGAGAAGTATAAATACCTGTAAAGACTTTGAGATTGGATTAAGCAGAAACAGAGTTGTTTCCGGCTTCCTGAAGGGAGCCGGGATTTCCTAACCCTAGCCGCCTCGTGCTGTTGTCGCGCGCCTCCTCCTCCTCCCCACGCGCGACCACGGCACCTCGACGCTGTTCGTCGCGCTTCAAGCCTCGTCCTCCGGTCTCCCACGACTACAACTTACGATCCGTCAGGGGCAGACCTGCTGTCCATATCAGAGATGGAGAACATTGCCTGCCATCACATATGGACTTCCATTTGTTATACATTTCACATTTCTGTGTGTTCCAAATTAGGACTTGGTCACTTTGTGATCTATGAACTACTCTTTGTGTGTTGCTGACTTGCGAAGTTGCTGTCTTTGCAGCTAGATGGACATTACACTCTATTGATAATGTGGTTTTAGTCGATTTTGCACCTGCTGCAGAGTGCCATGCCAACACATTTAATGGTCAACTGAACGTGTACTTTCTGCAGTCAACGAATAGAAAATCTTAAAAGTGTGCTTCACTGCTATGCAACCAAAAATACTAGGTGGCAAAACTGAGTGATGATTTTGGTCCCTGGATGTGTTTTTGGTTAGTTTTTCATTTCACTGTGAGGATTCTTTTACTGTGTAGAGAGTACTTGTGTTAATGGTTAACAAAGAATCTGATTCCGCTAGTATAAGTAGTTGCGATGTGCTGATGTGCAAGGTATAGTTGCGATTTCAAGGAAAGTTCCATTAAGGTCATAGTGTTCTTGCACTTAGGATTCCATTTTTGGCAATAAAGTGGTAGCATATTCTAAGACAGAAATTTGCCATAGTATGAACTGTTGAGCTATCCTTGTCATATTCTCGCAGCTATGTCCATTTATAATTTATTATGGAATTTTATTTGAATGTGGTTTTATAAATTGCATGTGAAGCAGAGTACCATAGCAGCAGAAGCTGGAAACAAGCCGTGATCAACTAAAATGGAAATGTCCAACAAAAAACCGTGACCATTTCTGTGGATTAACTGTACTCTCTGGCATATAGTATAAAAGGGTTGTGTAATAAAATAATCCCACTAGTTCTAGAATTTGACATCCTTGCGCTGCTCAGAACCATGAAATAATCAAACTTGTATCTTGTGTCTTAATTATGTTTTCCCCCACTGTAGAACTGCTAATTTATCTGTCATATGGAATTTAAGTTTAAATTTTATGGTATGGGGCTCTCACTCTGCAAATCTTTGTTTTCATCAGGAAGCTATGTACTCGTTATCACTTCTCGGAAAGATGCTGGCTCTTATCAGGGCTCCCCTGTGTACCATGTGAACTCCATGAAATTCTTATGCTGCAACGAGGCTATAAAGCACTTAACTCCACAGGAAGTATGTAAACATTATCACATAGTGTGCAATTTCATCCACATTGCTTGGTCACAACTAAACACTGATTGCATTTCTCTGGTCCTTGGTCGCTGCATTTAAGTTTTCTACCTCTATCTGCTTGCAGAGAAGGGATGAGGCATACTTCATGTCTCTCCTGAGAATTGCAGAAACTACTTGTGGATTGTATTATTCATACGACAGGGATTTGACACTAAAGTAAGTGCTTTGTCATGCATGTACCCAAATTAGGCAACCGAAAGATATAGGCTTTTCAGAAAAGGCCAACAACCTTTATGTAGTGATTGTGCACATCCCTAAGATATATATATATATATTTTCTCGAACAACGCAGGAAAACACACAACCAAAAAACCCATCAGGAGCCTAAGCAGCCGATGGCAACGACCTACAAAGGAGTGGATGTAAAGCCTTAGCACAACAGATTACACTCATGAACTACAAGCAGAACCTTTTGAAAGCAAGGACTACCACCCTCAAAGACACAGTGGTTCCTATGTTTCCAAATCTCCCAAGCAAATAAGATTATTAGCGAATTAAGCCCTTTCATTATCTCCTTAGGAACTGCCTTGCTCCACCAGCTACTGAAACGAGAGTCCTCTGGTTCAGTGCAAGAGGAAGCAACCCCAGCACAGAAAAAATAGCTGTCCAAACTGCCTTGCAAACACACAAGCAATCAGGATATGTTGTATTGTTTCATCACCCTGATCACAAGGGTGTCTTGCAAGTCAGTCAGCAGTCCAGCAATGTCCTTGAACGAGGGGGGGCTTCAGATCCGCTTCCAAGGTGCAAACTTGATGGTCCCTATGAAAAACGCCATATAGGCTAATTTGCTAGAGAAAGAGCCCGGTTGTGTGCCTCCAATGGTGCTGATCAGGAGTGTCTTGTTGAACCATGTCCCAAAGTTGCATGTATTCCAACAAGACCTCAACTGTCAAAGCCCCCTTGATGTCAGCCACCCAACTTCTGTTATGTAAAGCTTGTGCCACCTAAGATATTTTTTACATCGCATTCTCTATATCATAAAGTTACTAGGATTGGGGCCTAATGTTAAAAAAAACTCGACCTGTGGGGGGTAAGACAACCCTTGGGCATTTTTTTATTAAGAACAAGACATTTTCACGCAGGTCGAGAAAACCTCCGAACCCCTGCTCTACCCATACACAGTGGTACCACAGCCCATGTGAGAATGACCACGACCTTGGGCCATACCTTGGACCTCCTTTGGCGTGGGACAGACGAGGGGATTTTTCTAACCCCAGTCTGAAATTCGCTCCCATGGGGAGTTGAACCCATTAGAGAGTTACATACGCGCTTGTTTCATCAAAGAACACAACCTGACCTAACATCTAAAGAAACCTTCTACCTGGCTACCACCTCAAACTGGGCTAGCCCCCTGGGTGCCAGCGCCAGCAATGCTCCAAAGCTGAGCATCCTCAAGGATATTTCTAGCCACAAGCTGTATGTTAGGAAGAAACTCCATTTAACACACAATTGTTACGATGTTTCCAAAGCAGCCAAGCACCGTCAAGCCACGGTTGAAGTCCTCAGGGAAGAAAGCAATGATTTGTATCCAGCATTCAAAGAATCTCTTGTCGCTTGGGAAGGGAGAGAAATCTGGTAATCTGTAGCGGCGAAACAGAAGGAACCACACCGTTCTACAAACAAAACACATCCAGAAACGATATGATGGAGATCTCGTCTTCCTGTACGCAGAAAGGACAGTGCTCCAGATGAGGTAACCCCCTTCGGGCCAATCTCTCCACAGTCCAACATCTCTCATGTGCCACCAACCAGAGAAAAAAATGGCACTTCTCTGGTGCCCCAATCTTCCAAATTAGATCTCCAGGCTCAAAGGACATTGATCCAACAAACAATGTTCTGTAGGCTGATTTGACTGTATACTATCCCGACTTAGTAAACCACCAAGGATGACTGTCTGGTGTATCAAGCTGAAGCTCTACCTCCGCAACTAAATCCCAAACCTCCCGGTAATCAGTAAGATCCGAAACAGTCAGAGCACCCTGAATGTCCTGTATCCAGAGATTCTGATCTAAAGCCTCCCGTATCGTTCATCTCCTTGCCTGCGTTTGTAACTAATCGATTGCTTGTTAGTTCCATTGTTCCTTGCACAGATGTGTAGTAGGTTCTCGAAGTATGGATCTATTGAGCACTTTTTAATACCTTCTAGTTGTATGACTGTTATCATGTACCAAATGCCTCTTTGGTGCATTTCTTTTTCTTTTGTTATATACTGGATTGTGTCTGACTGACGAGAGGGGACTAATGTGATGATGTAGTGCTCTTCAATAGCGATAAAGTTATAAACACTATGATTATGTAGCTTGCAGAGGGCATCCAAGTTGACTGCAGGGAGGATACATAAACCACTATGGAAGCAGGTTCGTGATGATTGTCATTTGATATGTCCCACGGTACTCAAATCTTTGTGGCTTTGTTAGTTTTTTAGTCTGTTGACAGTTAGGTATGCACTTTTAGGCTACAAAAACTTTCAAAACAAAACAAACATTTTCCTTGCAGTTACGCACAAATTTCACTCTTTTTCGAGATATGGGATCATGACATTCCCCCTGTTGATTATACAGTTAAGGAATCATTGTGCCTACCATTTTTTCTTCTTTCTTTTTTGGTCAGGCTGATCCACGTTTTGTTTGGAACAAAAATTTGTTAGAGGAGCTTATTGAAGCTAAGGTAAACATTTATGAAGGATTTGACTTATGTATTTTATCTATTTGTATCCTTGCTTATGTTCTAATTTTTTCTGGATAATTTTCTGCAGCTTGATGAGTTCATCATCCCACTGATACAAGGAAATATCCAAAAAAAATTAGATAGTTCCATGTCACTGTTTTCTTTTTGTATCTTTATTGCTTAGGGGTGCATATATAGTAACTTGCTTTGCATGCATAATGTGGGCTCTGTACTTTGTTATCATATATCCAAATTAGAAGGAAATGTTTCAAAAAGTTGCAATGCATGCCATTGTTTTCTATAATTGGAGGACAAACAATGGTCAGTAAGCTGGTGTCCTTAACTCCTGTACGTTTTCAGTCAGCGCAATTTACCTTGAAGGATAGACCAGTCAGAATAACATTGTTCTCAAGGAGATGCAACAGGCGTTTAGGTTGCACTTTTTTTTCTTTTTTGCTGACACTTCTTGAAACATGAGTGACTTATAGAACACAATGATACTTCTAAATTGTAATGCGCTCATTGCAGGAACAAGAATGTGGAGAAGGGGTGCGAATCTTGAAGGCGCCACAGCAAATTTTGTAGAAACAGAACAGTTGGTTGAGTATGAAGGTCTCACATCCTCATTTATACAGGTGGCTTCATGGTATAATAAATGGAATTTCTTGGTGCTGGTTGCTGGATGATGTTCATATTACATGGCTTTTTTAACCAATGCTATGTCATAATAATGCATGCAAAGCAATAGAGTCCAGTGCCAAGATGAAAATGGCACTAGAACCCATCATCTAAATGACCATAGCTATTTGAACTACTTAACAATGAAATGTGATAGAATTGTAATTCCTTACACTTGGGCTAACCCTAGAAGGGTAGCTATATGGGAGTCATACATGGGCCATATATGGGCCTTAATACACACATACTCTAACAAAATGTGGTCACAAACATTTAATTGTCCATGAATGTTTTAGAATGTCATTTACTTGTGTCCCATTTTCAACGCTTTACAAGCTTACTCATTCCCTTGTTACTTTGTTAGGTTCAAGGATCAATTCCACTTCTCTGGGAGCAAATAGTGGATTTAAGCTACAAACCACGACTTAGCATTATTGAACATGAAGAAACTGTAAGAATTTGTTACATTTTACTTTTGTAGTGACCCCATACTTAATATAGCCTGATGACTTCTCTTAAACTGATTCCATACAGCCTAAGGTTGTTCAACGCCACTTCCATGATCTTTCACAACGATATGGCGAGACAATTGTTATTGACTTGACTGATAAAGTAAGTTTTATATACATTGATGTAACATACTTTTTTTATTAAGCAAATGGGTTGTTACACGCAAATTTGGTGATTTTCTTTCTTTTTTTATAACGGTGAATGGGGTTTGGACAAAAATTGGAGGGAGAGGCTTAATCCCTTAGTTCTTTCTTGCCTCTAATAGTTCTAACTCCCTTTATTTAGGTAGGATACCATGACTTGATTCCTAACCCTAAGGAACCTATTGGAAGACTCTGGACTACATAATCTAATTCTGCTGAACATAATGGGCCAATAACCACGCTCTAGGAGAGTGGGCCACTGTTACAGAACCCTTGTACTGTTCATGTGTGTTACAGTCTGTGTGGGCAGTACTGTGGACCTTAATGGGCCAGCTGTTGGGCTTACCTGCTCCAGGACCGTGACATGGGTATTATGGGTTTTACAAAGCAAAGCAGTATTTACAACATGTTCACTAGTGCCAACTTTGCAGTTTGTTTGAGGGGAAGAACTTAGTTTACAGTTTTGCACTAATGCTATGGCATTCAACTCTTTGTTTGCTTGATTTCAGGCAAGATTAGTAAAATGATAATTGAAATAAAAGGCAATATGCTTGAAGCAGGATCGTGCCTTCGTGGAAAAAGCACATATGTCATATATCTGATCTTTTTTTTTATGACGAAAAAAGTATGGCAGACCAGTTCCATTAATTGCCAAATATAGGGAAGTCTTGTAGTCCTTAGTGCACTTAAGCTTGAGGGTTAGTCATTCTCCTACCTTGTAGCTGGTAGTTGGTATACTAACTTGGAGACTCATAAACAGTTATTTTTTTCTCGAACTAGGCAGGAAAGCTGCATTCTCATTTCATTAAGAGAAAAAAAAAAAACCAAGGAGAGGCTGCACCATCTCCGCTGAACAGTTGTTCTTTTTGGCCATCGAGAGACAACGGTTCATCTAATCTGTTGTTACTTGCAGCGAGGTGATGAAGGAGATTTGAGTAATGCATTTGCTGCTGAAATGGGCAGAATTCCTGGTGTCAGGTTATTATGTTTCTTGGAAATGCTTACTTGTATTAGTTTCTGTTCTTACAAGTAATCAAATGATTACCTTACCCCAAGGATTAAACATTTACATAAAATTTATTAGTTCTCTGCTGGATGTGGTCCTTCCGCCTTACAGGTATATACATTTTGATTTCCATCATGTTTGTCATGGAGGTAACTTTGACAATTTGCAAGCTCTCTACAATCAAATTGAGGAAGCTATTCATAAGCAAGGGTAATTTTCGAATATCTAACATTTCATGCTTAGTTTTTTCCTAAGCACACTGCTTTGAGATTTATTCATAACTAAAGGTTTAACTGTGGCAAGTAATTTGCTTTTGCTTCTTTTCTGGGCCAGCTGAGCAGATATTTTCTTATGAACACTAAAGGAGAGATTTTGTGGGAGCAAAGTGGTGTACTTAGGTCCAATTGCATTGATTGCCTGGACCGTACAAATGTGACACAGGTTTGCACGTCATCTTATTCTGTGATTCAATGTGTTATGTACTAATTTTCAAAATAAATTTAATAAGGTACATCTTGATAGCAGTTTTTAATAAGGTACATCTTGATAGCAGTTTTCACACAACTGTTATAGAACCCCCCCCCCACACACACACACACACACTAGTTGCATTAATTTTCCAGACCTCATCTGTCAGCGGGCCATGTCATCTCAAATATCAGATTGTATATATCAGTTAGTGCCCCCACCCCACCCAACACCCACCACCACTTGCGTGGCCCCACCTACAAGCAGCTGTTTTTGGAGTCCCCAAGCATAAAAGGTGATGGGAGCTCACTAATATATACTTCTATCCTGACAATCATCTGTCATTGGAAAGCCTATCCTAATTTATTTTGTTCACTTACATGTTAGTTAGAACTTGGTATTATGCACTTGTCTTTACATAACTAGTTCTTCCTAATGAGCATCTGTACATGAAAGTACCTTGCTAAACATGGTAACAAGCAAGAGAATGATGTATCCTGTGCTCAATAGTCCCTCAGTTCTACGCAGAGCATGCAACTGGATGCAATGCTGATGGTTAAAAGAACAGAATAGCAGGACCGCGAAACTAAAATTGGTGTTTTTAAAATGCATTAATGAACTATGGCCTATGGGTTTTTATCATTTCATTAACTCCTTTGGAACATCCTTTCTCCTCCTTTACAGAGTTTCCTTGCAAGAAAATCATTGGATTCTCAGTTGCAGCGGATGGGGGCATTATTGTCATCTGAAAGCATTTCTCTCTCTGATAACATTAATGATATATTCAAAAAATGTAAGGTATCTTTTATGGTTAAATGTTTATTGCCAATAATTAGACTCTTATCTAAATGTCTTGTGGTCATGAATTCATGCCTGGCAGTATGGGTCGAGCACGGTGATGAGCTGAGCCTGGAGTACGCTGGTTCTTATGCTTTGAAAGGGGATCTAGTGAGGTACTCTAGCATTTACTGCCTCAATAATTCGCGAATAAACTCTGATGTGTAAGTGTTGCTTGGCTAACTTACATGGGAACTATTGATGTAACACAGATATGGAAGGCAGACATTACCTGGACTAATTAAAGATGGAATGAGTGCTCTTTCAAGATATTATTTGAATAATTTTCATGATGGAGTGCGGCAAGTAAGTTCTTATGTTGTGCTCAAATATTTGCTCTAGCCCTATCAGCGATCGCTCCTCTTAGGCCTTTTTCTTGTACAATCTTCACTTCAGTTGCTGGAGCACTTAGCTAAACTTCACATGATGTAGCAAGAGTGCATCGCATCATTTATCTTTTCAATGTTTAAGGAGGTACCATGAGATATATTGATTCAGATGCAACTTTACAGCCATGTAATGATACTACTATTTTCTTTCCCTGTGCTTCTTGCTAGATTATCCCTGTCTACACCCTTGTGTTGATTTATACTTAATGAACTTATTCTTATCATGTGCCTCTTTCATTATTTGTCTTCAGGATGCTCTTGACCTTATTAGCGGTTATTATACAGTCAGCCAAGGCAGCTCCTCTCCTTTTCATAATGGTGGATTTGAATCTTCTTCGGTAATTGACTAATATTTTGCCTGTCTTACTTGTGGGCCTTTTCATTTATCTGATGGGAATTGCTACCCTTGTATGGTTAAACAGCATCCTCTAAAAAAAGTTAAATAACTCTGCTGTTGGTCTCACCTTGTGTGGCTGTTGCGAAAACATACTGCAGTATCTGCCTGTGGCTTCAGCAATCATAGTTGGTGGGATTACCGCAACAACTTTCAGTCTCAGTCAAGGTCTGCCTGCCTTGCTTTACTCCAGAGTTCTGAAGTTTTGATAGAGCCTGCTTACATGAGTTGTGCTCGTATTCTCTTTGAAAAAACTAAATTGCACAAATCACGAAATTTTATATCTATTGTCTCGTCTCATCTGCAGTTGGACGGAACGCACAACACTTGATCTCCTCCATTATCTGTGCGGGCTTAACAGTCGGAGTAGTAGCCTTGGTGAAAGCCAATGGAAAACAGTTTTGCTCTAGGCCCCGTCTGTGTGGTCTAATCTAATTATTGGTCTTTTTTTCCTCCCCTTTCATATTGCCTTTCGTTAGAAATTAAAGGTCAAAGGATTAGAATGTTGTTTTACTCATTGCAAGAGTAGGTTAAATAAGGAGGCAGGATGGCCTGCCGATCCTGTAATCTGAAGCTGCTAATTTGTAAGCCTAGTTTGACTCCACAGTCTGTTTGTTATATACTTGACATGTATCCATGAATAGAGAATTGCGCCTCCAAAGTCCAAATTTGTAATAAATAAATCCGAGAGACCACGTATTTTTTAGTGTGATGACTGGGTGGTAGCGAGGCTCTTGCATAGTTGCATGACACAGAAAAGACACCTTCGTCCCTCTGTCTTCTACAATGAAGGTGAGGCATCACAAAGATGCTGTTCTTATCAGGCACAGATGTTTGCCAAGTAAAATGCGACGCAGCGCTATACAGTCGAGTTTGCTCGTTTGGATTTTGCCCTGTTCGCTTGGCTGATAAGCCATAGCTGAAAGTACTGTTAACTGATTTGTTGTGAGAGAAAAATATTATTCGTTAGTTCAAAAAATACGGCTTATAAGCCAAGCTAACGGGACGTTTGCTGGCTAGGATTTACAACTACGGGGCACGGGGCACATGGAGATAGAGGGTAAAAGTGTGAAACTAGGCAATACCAGTTTTTGGTTCAGGTAGCTCGTGTTGCTGTGGAGCTTTATGGAATCCGGCAAAAGGCAGATTTCGTTTCTGGTGAAAATTCGTGTAGAATTCATGCAGCAAAACGGGGTTTAGATTGTTCTGCTAACTGATAATGCCTGAATATGCACAACGTTAAGAAATGAGTACATTGTACTGGACTTACATTATTTACAAGAATTCTTTTGTATGGTTGACAATATTTCTACTGTCTTGTCCTTATCTCAGTACCGTCTCCTCATATAATAAATGCACTTCTAGTCTCTGTTGTATAATAAATACACTTCTAGCATTAAAAAATTATCGTAGAACAAGTGCACTTTTAGTTATGGAACCACCTAGTTATGGGACCACCTAGCTTTAGTATACTTTACTACTTTCTCTATTCACAAAAGCGCAATTATTACATATTTGAACAACTTTTGTTAGGGGGCTGTATATGTAATTTTCTAGTAACATTGATCTCAGCGATAAATCCTACAAATGCATTTATTTTAGGATGGAGGGAGAACAACAAAATAGAGCGAACCTTTTGGCTTGCAATTCTAAAAACAAACTAGCAACCTTTTCATCCTAGTTTCAGCGTGAAATTTTTCCTGGACGTATTTAAAAGGGAAAGTTTAGCGTGCAATTTCGTTGTTTGATTCGTGGCCTATAATTTATTTCAAAAGGAGCTGGAGTTGGACTGCCCAAAAATAAGATCACCAACCCTTTGTGGCAAGCCACATTTCAAGGTGTCTAAATGTGGTTAGCAGCAAAAATAACTGCCCCAATCTCTTTCATCTGTTTGCTTTGCTATCTTGCGTTAGGAACTCAAACCGATCTCTGTCGTGTTGCATTCAACAACTTTGAACGAGGCTGCCTTTCACGCGTCGCTCCGTTTCCATCCTCGGTTGCAGGTAGTTGGATCAGAATTCGCATTCTTCTGTCTTGGAGAATGATTTCTTGTGCTCACTGCTGATCTTTTTGCACGATGTGGATTTTGCAGCTGGAGTTCTTGACGATGATGCCCTAAGACTGAGGATTAGAAAGGAAAATTTCACACGGCAAAACTACGTTAACAGTCCTCTGGGCGCGCAATCTTGTTGGCAATGGGAAATAAGGGACCAGTGCCAACACAAGAATTGACAATTGGTTCTGTTCTGTCTCCCTCTCTGATCTCTCTTTGCATCCCTGTGTTATGCCTAATGTTTTAAATAGCGGGCTAAGGTGTTTAGCGGTATATCTCTAAAACAGTTAATAATGGAGCTATATCGGGCTATAGCGGGATATAACGGCTAAATTGTACATAAACACAAATAGCGGCACCCTACCTCAAAAAATTATAGCGGAGCGGGAGATTTAAAACTATGGTTATGCCCCTGGCGCATACTGAAGAACCATCCCATAATCCACTGCAGATGACATCAAGATCGACGACGAAGCACCGTCAAAGGCAGCACCACCGTCCACGTCTGTTGTGAACAATACTAAGAGCAAGACAGGTACGGCAACAGATTCCAGCTAGCATGTGTGTGAAATCGAAGAAGACGGTACGTGCGTACGGCTGTCCCTTTTCTAATCTAATCATAAAAATAGCGTCTGCTGCTGCTATCCCTAGACGTGGAGCGAGAGCAGCTGTTTGAAGGATCAAGCGATGTTCACACGCCACGGAAGAAAAGCACCCAAGAGATCCTCACCAAATACAAATTCAAAGGGGTAACTCTCTATCTACAGTCTCACCCGTACTATTTCGAATAGCTCATTTTTGTGATGATTTGCCGGACTCCGTGGCACATATATACTGACATACTGTACATTGCAGGACGCCGCGGCCGCCGCGGCTCACGCGAAACAAAAGCTCGTGGAGCGGCAGGAGAAACTTGCGGTAAATGGATCCACCAGTTCGTGATTTTTCTCTTATACAAATAAATGACCGACGCTGAGCGATGGCCATCATCCTCCCTGTCCCCAGAGAATAACCGAGCAGTCCGCGGAGCTCGAGAGCGAAGCCTCGAACTTCGCCACCCTCGCGCAGCAGATCAGGAAAAACACGGAGACCTGGTGGTGGAAGCGATGATTCTTTCCGGTTTCCGCGGTCGGTCGGTGCGGCTGTGCCTGAACGCGGGGTATCAACTCAGGCTAGTGCGCTTTCCAGCCCCGCTCTGGCTTTCCGACGGCGCCTTCGCCTTGGCTGTAACCAGCAGGTCTGCGTACGTAGCTCATGAAGAGTCACCAGCAGGACGCCACGAACCATATGCATGGCTGTAACCCACCCGTTGGTCGGTTCCTCTCTGCACAATCACAATCAGTCAATTCTAAGCACCAGCAACGTTGTGATTGATTTCTCAGTTTGGTCAACGTCGGTCAATCGCAGCCAGCATTTGCTGCAACGGAGTAGTATAGCGTGGCGGTAGTGCTGCTCTGTACTACTAGCCCCAGCAGAATGAAAAGCAAAGCAATGTGACGTTTAGCGTCGGCCCTGCTGCAGAAGCATATCTGTTTTCCTATGAAATCTGTTTAACTTGAATGAGAGATGTGACCTGCCGGTGTATAGATTCACACCTGTTTGGATCCATTTGCTATGACAAAAGTTTAGCGGCTACTAAACATCAATATGGCTCTGATGCATGACGGCTACGGGCAACCATCAATTATCATTAATTGAATTAAACCTCGTTTACCATGTGCCGGTCTAGACTACGTGGAGACTCCCAGTACTACAACGGATGGCGCCGGGAGAGGACACGTGTAGCGGGAAGCCGGGAAGTACCTCTCTTTATGGTACACCGTACACCGAGAGTCGGAGACTGTTGAGCCTCAGGGACACTTTGAACCTCTGGGCCACGAGTGCAGCCAGGCCTCTTTTCTTCATAGGCCAGCCCATATGCCGTCTCCACATTTACTGTAGACAGCCCAGCTGAGCTAAACAAAAACAAAAGGATCAAACACTATTCTCTCGTCTAGAATCTAGATACGAGCAGGTAATGGCAGACGATGATCTTTCGTTGCAGAGAGAGAATAGAAGGAGGGACTCAGGTCGGGTGTAGCGGAATCACTAGCTAACATGCGGATCGGATAGGTTGAAAGACACCAGAACGTCATGCATCTAATACACTAGTGGAGGGCGCGCGTACGCGGGCACAGGAACGATTTTGAACACAGAGGAGATGTCCTGGGTATATATTAAAAAAAACACAAGCATACCAGATTGATCCTGGTACATAGTAGTTCAAATCCGAAGATACGTATGCAGTTCTTTGCTGAAGAATGAACGGAGTGACAGTTAAGTAAACAAATACGTAGTGATATTACAAAGGCATAGTGATTACAATATTTTTTAACAGGCTGCCATTTTTTTAGCCTGGTAAGGAAACGACGTGTCCCTTTAATAATGTAGAAAATGTGACCATGCATGTTGAAAACGCTGGAGCAGGCATCTTGTTGGCTATCGTCACCTGCTATAGGAAGGAAGATAATGAATTGGTAAACGATAGGGAAGAAATAGGCGAACTGTGTCTTCTTTCTTTGGGACAAAATACAGTGGTAGGCTAGGCAGGAAGAAAGTACCACATGGAGACCAAATTAATATTTAAAGCGGTTAGCAGGCCTGCGTATAAGAAATCTGTAACGATGCAGCCTGCTGTGCCTGTGTAGCAGCAGGAGGCAAAGGCTGTATAAGTACATTCAATTTAATAAGTTCAGTAATGGATATATAATTGTGAATTATAGGGCTGATGAGTTTCTTTCTGTCTCACATTCACTTTTGAGTACTGGTTACCTAGAATTGGTACATATTGGGCCTGTTCGGCAGGACTGAAAAATACTGTCCTAGGTTGAGAGAAAAATTGTAGGGGATTCTCGTGAGAGGAAAAACAAGCCAGTTGGCCAGCCGAACACGCTCATTGTGAAGTGAGGGATTGTAGGGGGTGTGGTTTGTTGGTCACAAAAATAGGGGAGCAAGAAAGATTGCTTTGGTTCATACAGATGTATTCAGTGAATAATGGCAGACACAGAAATTGGGGAAAATGGTGATACAATATGTAATCATCTATAAGGGTGTACATATGTTTAGACCTTATCTATTTTGGGGCGTGGTTTGAGGAAGCCCTACGGTTACCGGCTTTTCCTTGATCTTCAGAGTCTTGGGTACGAACTTATGAAGCAAACAATGTGGCGCGCAAAAGCAGGGAGAGGTAGTTTGACAACCACAGGAAGCGAGAAGTCAATAGCTTCAGTTTAGATGCAGTGCAAGATTAGTAACGGTTTGTAGTAATAGATTATTACAGGTGATGATGGGAGGCCTATGAAGAATTATTCAAGCACAACGGCTATATAGCTTGGACGGTAAAGAGCGAAACCAGAAATCAGAACTGGACATAAGGCTGTGTAATTTTACCTAAAGAGGACCATGGTGTAGAAATATATTGGCTGATAACACAGGTAGTGTAAATTCTATGAAAGCATGTAGTTCTTGCTGAAGCAACCAAATGCAAGTGGGACAGCGCCAAAAAAAAAAAATCCTGTAAAGGAAGAATGGGAAATGTGAAAACGGGTGCGTAATGTCAATAGGCTGAGACTATTTTTGACGCAAATAGGTTGAGACTATTGAACCGGGAAAAGTGAAAAGGTAAAAAACGGAAAATTGTTTCCAAATAGTATTTTTAGTAACGAACAAAAGAGGAAGAGTGGGATCATCATAAGAAGATTAATAATACGTTGTAAACAAATTGTAACCTGCATGTGCCCACTTGCGGGTAGTGCTGCCTTTAGTGCTCTGGATCCCTAAGCTCATGTTGAGTTTCAGACGAATCCATTTGTCCGCAGAATTAATTACTATGATGAAATGACTACACAATAGCCTGGAGGTAATATTTGATTTTTATACAACGTAGTGGTAACTTGGAGCTACATTTGGAATCACTATCATTTTTATTATCAGATAACTCCAAGCAAAAGGCATTTCTTCCAATCTCAACACAAATGTCATGTCTAAAATTGTTCAAAATAAGAACTGGTAGCTAAATCCAAGAACAGAGATGCAATGGGGATAGTTAGGATAGGCAAAAGAGTAAATCAGAAGATATGGTATGAGCACCTGTAACCACTCACCTAGAATACGTCTCAAATTTACCTCTTTGATGTTGTTGCAACATCAACAGTGCCTGGGCTGTTGGGCCCCACAATCAGGAGCTGTTCCTGGATTACAACGCTGCAAAAGTGCGGAAATAACATAGCATGGTCTTAGCTATATATCCCATAATCATCTATATATGCCATAACTAAAATCGTTCTAAATAAAAGGTCACTCCACCATAAACTTTCACGGGGGAATCGACACAACCAAATTAGCTGGACTAAACAGAAAAAAGAAGAAATATGTATAGTAAATTACACTACTTTGTGTATTATAGTTAGGGTGTCAATGTCCTCCAGAAATCAAAACAAAGTAGTCTAACTTGAGAACAGAGTAGTCATAACTATAGTTGACACTGTGGCCTGGACGACGCGCCCACAGCAGTGGCAGCTGGCTCCATTCGTGAGGATAGATTAGAATAAAGGAAAGAATGATCATTTTATCTTTATCTCAATGAGCTAGAAAAGGGCATACACCTCTCGCTTACTCTGTTTAATAAAGCTGTTAATACTTCAAAGGAATAGACATCACGGTAAGATCGTCCTGTAGGTGGAGGAAATTTATACATAGATGACTAAATTATTAACCGTAGATTTTTTAGAACATGAAGCGCTACTCAGATAAGCTCGAGGTTGAAGAACTAAGAAATGCAATAAACATCTACTCACCAACATGTTGGCAGCCCCATATTCATATATATTTGATCCAGTTCCCCTTCTGAATTCTGGCTTGTAAATAGCTGGACAAAATGTATCAAGTGAATATATCTATGAGGTGGCAATTAAGTGATTTTTTTTCTTAGAAAATTACACTTCTTTGAGTAGCATAGTCAGGTTTCGATGGAAATCTCTGAGTATAGATGAATTCATGTAAACTGTGTATGGCCTCAAAATTCTTGG